CTCACACACACACACACACACACACACACACACACACACACAACCAAGGAGTTTCACAAGAGAAGATTGACTTTTTTCACCAAAGATGAGAAGTCAGCTCAAGTCAGCCACTGGATAAAACACCTAAGCTGGGCCAGCAGAGTGGCTCAGTTGGTTAAGAGCTCACTCAAGAGAGCAAGCTCTGAGCAACAGGGTTGCCTGTTCAATTCCTGAGCTGAGCTGCTGTGGAGCTGCCAACAGGTGGCAGGATGGCTCAGCTAAAAAAACAAAAAACCACCTACGCAGACATTGTCATAAAACTCATCTATTTCATTTATTCTCCTAAGGCTCTATTTATTTTTCCTAAAAGTTATTTGTTGTCCCATAAGTGCCCCTCTGCCCCTCCCCATCCCCTATTAAGATGGCATATAAACTCCAAATTCTAACCACACCCTTGAGTCACATTGCTTTGTGAACTCCTATGGAGATGTACATAATTAAATGGTGTTTTTTTTTTCTCTTGCTAATCTGTTGTCAGCTTAATTTGCAGGCCCCCAAGTACTAAAGCTAAGGGGCTAGAGGAAAGGATTTTGCTCCCAACAATTTCAAATAGCAAATGATAAATTGTATAAAAATTTATCTATAGTACATGTGTATCTTGGCAGTCCTTGTGTAATATAACCAAGAATTTATCAATTTCTAGAGAGCAAAAATGTTGTTCTTTGCAATACCTAGTAGCTGTTATTAAACAATTCAGAGGCACATTCAAAATGGTTCTGTCATTAACACTGTGCATGACTGAAGGTTGTTTTATCTATAAGAGCCTAACATCCCATATTTTAAAAAATCAGTAATATTTTTAAGTTGATGATAATTCTTTTAGCTGTTTCTTCTAGTATTTACCTTTAGGTTTCTAACATATTTGTATTGCTATTTTTTTACATCAATTTTAAATGGTATCTATATACTTACTATTACGGCAGGTGGTGCTTAAGGCCTCTGGCACCACCACCACCCATTTCTCCACCCTCATCCTCAAAATATAGTCAGTGATATAGTAGCTGGTTAAATCACTAATTAGCAATTGCATTGAAGGAGTTCAGAACACACCACCCCAAAATATGTTGCTCTGGCATATTGACTATTTTGACTGAAAAACAGCAGCTGCAAGAAGGACATTCTGATCCTTTTCTTAAAAACGGGAGATGAAATTCCCATGTGAAAGATGTCCTGCCTATACGAGAAGGAAAGATATTCTTACCACCAAGAACATGAAGTGGAGGCCGAGATACATTTGTACAAACTTGGTTTAACTAACCTTTATCTTCCTAGTCAGTTCTCCATTCATTTCACTACCCCAGCCCAAGCCCTTGTGCCTAGTCGCATTTTCACAATTGACTACTCTTTGTCTAATTCAGTATATAAGCATTCAATTCTGCTTCTTTGGATTTTCATTTTTCTTGTGCAAACTCCCTTGCTGTTTAATTGTAACCAGAGACCTTAAGAAAGTCGAGGAGAAATTATTCCTCCTCTACAGCATTATGCTGATTCTATGATTCACGGATTGGCCATTTACTTTTTTGGTTGCTTTTTTCGATAGTTGTTAATGACTCAGAATAAATTTAATATGAAGCACCATATCATAAACTTAATATGTCACCATTAGGTAGTGCAGTGGCTACCCCTCTGCCAATGCTGAAATTAGTTGTGATCTGGGGCAACCAACTTTACCAGAATCAGTTTTCTCATCTCTTAAACAGGAGTAATATTTGTAACTTCCTCACAAGGTAATTAATTAGAAGGAGTAAAGTAAGAGTTAGACAGAAAAATAAGATAGTGAAATGTGAAAACCCTTTGTAAACTCTGTGAGAGAAATATAAAGCAAAATATTAGACCAGGATTTTCACTAATTTTGACCCTGAAAACAGGGTTCTAGTCTTCATTCCTCTCTTGAATGATGATTGGCAAATCTTTTCACATCTGGAGTGGCTGTTTTCTAACTGGTAATGCAAAAAGTATCAATGTTTATTAATAATTACAATACATTTACACTAACAATTTATTTGATTATGTTAATCTGTAAACTAACAAGCTTATACTGCTAGACAATCTCCAACTACCTTCCAGCTCTGATTTTATTATTTTGTTTCTAAATGAAGACATTAATTACATTCAAAGCTATCCGCTGTCCACACAGACATAGCACAGTAGAAATATCTAAGTTGGAGCCTGCTAGAACAACTGGTTTCCTGAAGACACAGAGACTGGAAGGTGGGTATGCACTACATGGTAGATGCAACAACAAAACCAAAGCTGGAAAGTAATCAGAAATTAATATGATTAATTAAAGGGCGGTGTAGGTCATTGTAGGAAATCTATCCATATCGGGAAGGCTTCACACATACAATTATTTAACCTCCCCGCGGCAGGCACCTCGCTTTTCTAGTTAAAACATGGCCCCCAGGGTCTTGGGGTTCCCGGCGTGCCTTGCGCTGCTCTTGGCGGGAAAGGAGACCTCCACCGGGGGTCAAAGAGCTACTGTCGTGCTCCCCTGGCAACCGTTGAAGGAAGGCGCATGCGCAAGGGGCAAAGCTCGTGCCGCGTCGGCGTGCCGCTCTGGTCGCTGGCAGCGGACCTCACGGGTTCGGTAATATACTATATGTGTGTGTTTCTTCTTTCTTTCTTAATGTTATTATTTTTTGCGTTTAAATTGATTTTTCTGTCACCTTTCTTCTGTTTTTAAGTTTCTTAAAGTTTTAATGGAGAAATATTTGTGGAAAAAAATGTATACATAGTTATGTTTCAGAAGAGGTTCTTGAGAGTAGGTTTACACGGGCGTCTAGTCCGGTCTTCATCAGGACAAATTTAAATGTTCACAGTAGATAGACTCTTCTATGAACTCTTCTAGATGAACTGTCTGATTAAGAAAACTGAAATTGGGGACACTCCCCCAAAAATGGAAACTTACATCAAAATATCAAAGTTATAATTGAGAAATCAGAATCAGTGCAAAAAATCTAGAGCATTTTCCATTGCCCTTTTGTGGTTGTTCCACAGATTAGGACAATACTTTATATCTATAGCCATGCTCAAGTTCACTGAAGAAAAGTTCTTGATTCAGTTATTTTGAAATTATAAATTTAAAACAAGCATTAAGAGATTATTTTAAAGGGTTTGGCAGGGACAGTTTTTTATTGCCTTATATCTACCTGTGCAATGTTGTCAATGCTTGAACACTGTGAAGAATAATAGAAGATTATGCGTTTTTAAAAAGGTCTTATAGGGTCGGCCGAGTGGCGCGATGGTTAGGAACTGGCTTGGGACGCCAGAGGGCCCCGGTTCGGATCCCACATATGAGGGCCAGTGACACTGCCCTCCACAGCTAAGATGCTGAACAACAGCTCAACCTGGAGCTGGGCTGCCATGAGTCGCCGGCGACGGCGTAGGCTGCAGCCCCTGTGGCAGTGGGTTGCCATGGGCTACCGTGTGTAGCCAGCAGCCAGTGTGAGCGGCCAGCAGCCGCAGTGAGCGGCCGTCCAGAAGCTGGTGACTGATCTGCCTCGCCTGGGAAGAGCGCAATGATGGTGCCAACTTGGGCCAGTGAAGCAACGTCCTCCACAACTAGACTGAAGAACAAAAGGACAGCAACTTGTCTGTTCTCCTTCCCCCAATTCCCCAGCGCTGTTCCCTTCCCCCAATTCTCCAATAAAATCTTTAAAAAAAATAAAAAAGGGTCTTATAAAGAGCTGTCTTAATAACCCATCTTAATAACCCATTTGTGTAAGGCTTGCCAGTCAAATGGCTTAAAATTTGGATCTTACTCAAAAGAGTGGTACAGCAAAATGAATATGTTTTTGAAGATTCCATTTTAAGTAAAGGAATCCTCTCATTTAGTCACATAAAGTTCTTTCTGACTTTGCATGTAGTACATTAGAATATTAGGGATAAAAATAACTGAAGGTAAAGCTTGTATTTGTGTACAGGTTGAATTAAAGAAAATACTTTATCAGAAGATGGCCACTGCACAACTGAAGAGAACTTCCATGGTATGATTTCTTGTAATTTTGTATATTTTAATTTAACTAATTTTTTGGTTTCTTGAAGTTGCAACTATTTTTATATTTGAAAGTTAAAGTCAACTATTTGAGGGCTTAGTGATATCAAGAAATGCCAAGGGCCGGCCGAGTGGCTCAGTTGGTTAAGAGCTTGCCCAAGAGTGTGAGCTCTGAGCAACAGCGGTTCAATTCCCGGCCCAAGCTGAGCAGCTGCTGAGCTGACAACAGGTGGCAGGATGGCTCAGCTAAAGAAAAAAAAAAAGAAAGAAAGAAATACCATGTTTCAGGAACTGAAGATTTTTGCTAAACTATTTTGAATTAATGGAGAATTCTATTGGATGTTTGATGCATTACATTAAATCACTTGTTCAGATTGAGTTTACATTAGTTATTAATGAATGCTGTTCTGTTGCTTTAATGAAATTGTCATTCATAGCAGTCCACTCCTAGAAAATGAATATCCGTGCCCCACACACAAAGATAAAATTGTCATTTTTGCACAGATCTTGCATTACAGAGTGTCATCTATCCATGTATTATGTATGCATTTAGACAGTTAACCTGCAGGGGGAGTTTTTAAAAGATTTTTTTTTCAATTAAAGCTTATTGGGGTGACAATGGTTAGTAAAGTTACGTAGGTTTCAAGTGCACAACTCTGTAATACATCATCTATATATCACATTGTGTGTTCACCACCCACAGTCAGTTCTTCCATCACCATGTATTTGATCCTGTTTACCCTCATCTGCCACCCTCCTTCCCCCGTGGTAATCACTAAACTTGTGTCTGTGTCTATGAGTTTTTGTTTCTTTATGTGTTTGTCTTGTTCCTTTGTTGCTTTCAGTTTTATATCCCACATACCAGTGAAATCATAAAAAGATTCTTAAACACTTTTTGCATGTTACCTTTAGGCTGCTACCCTGGAAACACCCTCAAATCTTAGAAGCCACACTGACTTTCTGGGGATTTCTAAGCACTGTTGTTAGGAATTCTTTGGGAGAGTACCATGCTTCTGCAGAATTAGATTTACAAATTCAGGAAGACTTTATTTTTAATAAATCTAAGTAAAATGTTTTAATTTTCCTTGAATTTAGAGTGCATTGACATTTCCCAATAAGATATCTTCTGTGCAGCAGTCTTTGATGTTAGTGAAGCGGCTCCTAGCAATTTCAATATCCTGCATCACGTATTTGAGAGGCATTTTTCCAGAATATGCTTATGGAACAAGATATGTAGATGGTAATGTAATGTTTATTTTAAAACTTTAAACATAGTTAATTTTATTTTTGCTTGCTCTAAAACTATAATTTTTTACTTAAAGATTTTGTTTTTTAGTAACAGCTTTATTGAGATGTAATTCACAACCTGACAATTCACTCATTTAAAGTGCACAAGTCAGAGATTTTTAGCATATTCAAAGATTTGCAAACATCATCACTATCAATTTTAGAATATTTTCATCACTGCAAAAGGAAACCCTATATCAATTAAGTCACTGATTTCCCTCAACCTCCCCAGTCCTAAGCAACCATGAGTCTGCTTTCCATTTCTATGAGTTTTTCTATTCTGGACATTTTATGTGAATGGAATCATACAACATGTGGCCCTTTCTGACTGGCTTCTTTCACTTAGCATGATGTTTTCAAGGTTCATCCATATTGTAGCATGGATTAGTACTTCATTTCTTTTTTTTTTTTTGCTGAATAGTATTCCATATAGATATATACCACAGTTTATCCATTCATCAGTTGATGAACATTAGGGTTGTTTCCACTTTTTGTCTATTATAAATAATGTCACATTCATGTACAAGTTTTTGTGTGGACATCTAAGTGGTTTTTAAAAAGTATATTCAGGGGGCTGGCTGAGTGGCTCAGTTGGTTAAGAGCTCGCTCAAGAGTGTGAGCTCTGAGCAACAGTGGTTTAACAGTGGTTTGAGTCCTGGCCCGAGCTGAGCTGCCGCTGAGCTGCCAATAGGTGGCAGGATGGCTTAGCTAAAAAAAATAAAAAGTATGTTCAATGCCTTTGAAAGCACTTAATCATAAAAATTTTTCTTCATTTTCTCAAGTATAACTTCATTTGACATTACTCTTACAATGAGGAAGTAAATAGATACAAATATTCTATTATTTATAGCTTTTTACAGTGGTGGTGTGTGTTCTTATGTGAAAATAGTTTAGGTACACTACAATAATAACTTACTGCCCAGCACACAATATGTACATAATATTATGCATAATAGTGTGTACCAACTATGTGGTAGGCGAAATGCAAAGCACTATGTTATGTGTGATATCTTCTAATTCACATTACAGACCTATGAGTTAGATATTATCCCTGTTTCTCAGATAAGGAACCCGAGACAGAGATCTTCTCAGCTCTTTACATGGTATTACATGATGCTTCTTTGCAGGGCTCTATCCAGTGAATTTCTTGGCCTTTTACAAGTATTTTACTGGGATAAAGGTCCATAGCAAATATTCTAAGACTTTTAGATAACAATGGCATAAAAGCATTATATCTAACTTGCAGTATTCTATAGCTTTTAAAAATGAAAATTTTCTACCCATCAACACACATACTAATAATTTATGATGCCATTTTATAATAAGGATAAAAAGATTGTTTCTGTATAACCTCTAATTATATTAATACTAATTATTTGAAAGTTAATTGCCATTAATAATATACTGATAATAAATATACAGCTAAAGAAAATAATCTTCATTTTAAGTTTCTAATTGTTTACTAATCTTAAGTAGCTCTATATTTATATCATCATTTTTGTGTGTAGATCTTTGTGTCAAAATTCTGAGACAAGATAAACATTGTCCAGGATCCACACAGTTAGTGAAGTGGTAAGTAAAAGAATACCTAACAATAGAATATTCTTAAATCACAGTTTTTTGTACCTTTTGTACCTTGTTTTGGTGTTTAACCCAGTTTTAGTGATTCCTCCTTTAACACTGGATACCATTTTTGCAGCTCTTTGGATTTTTGCATTAAAATTTTCCTTTATGTTCCGTGAGCAGGCTTCATTTTCCTATTGTTGTCCCCTCCACAAATACTAGCTCTCAGTTACTTTATACCTTCCCTACCATCCCTATCAACATTTTTAAATTTCTGCCACATTGTATGTTTTATTTTATTATTTTAATCTAGTTAACAAAGAGGGAGCTTTAATAAGAAAATTTTGTATTATTTAGTAATGAGATAACATGCAGACTGATTAAAAGAACTACTTTCTGGAAATGCATTCACTCAAAAAATGAATCCTTGATTATTTTTCAGGATGCTAGGATGCTATGATGCTTTAAAGAAAAAATATGTAAGTCAGTATCTCTTCATCCTTTTTTTCCAAGTTTATATTCTACAAATGTAATGTCAATTACCATACACGATAGGCAGGGCCAAAGCATTCAGGGCTGTGTAGGTAAGGAGTTTGAAATTTATTTTAGGTGCAAAGAAGTCATTTGAAGGTTTTGAATAGAAATGTAACAACAGCATTTGATTTATATGTTAAATTAAAAGAAAACTCACTCTGGCTGCTATTTAGAGAATATACTGTAGAAGAAGAACAAATTGGAATTACACTTAATTTATTACTGAAGTACTGGTTAAAAAAAATAAAATGGTGGCTTAGACCAGAATGGTAGAGGAGGAGAAAAAAAAGGAAAGATTTAGGATGGGATTGGTAGTAGTTCTGACTAGACCTGTTGATGGATTGCTTGTGGAATATAAGCAAAAGATTCAAATCAAGGATGACTCTTAGATTTTGGCAGGTTACTTGAGTGACTGTGACTCCTATGTTCTCCAAGGCCTCTTCCCTTTATTAAATGAACAGGGCTCTAAACTTTCTACTTTTTTACCTTTCAAAATCAGCTATGTTGGTAAGGTTTAACGTGTTCTTTCACAATGTGTATTTTCCTTGTAACTGGCAGTAATCCCCCTGTTTGCTTAAGTAAACGACATGAATTTCAATCTTCAGTAAGCCAACTAAAAATAGACATTTTGGGGAAAAGAGACGAATATCTACTAAGGTATATATTGCTTTATATGCATCATATGAAGTCTATTTGTTGCAAGGTTATTTCTTACGAGGAATAAGTGTTGAAATAGGACAAAATTCTTATGATCCATCATGAAAAAAGTATTTTATACAATAAAAGTAAGATTTTTGTTTTTTGTTGTATTTCAGCTAAGGATGGTTGTTCTAGCTGTAAGTATTTTTAAATTGTATATTTATTAAAGACTGTCAAATTCAGCTTTGCTTAATTAAATAATACTAAAACCATCAATTAATTATGTCATTTTATTCAAACTACTGATCTGTTCAATGGAAAAAAGTAACAAATTAGTACTTTGGGGGGTCGTTTTGTATTTTATTTTGCTGAGTTTATTTAATAGTTTAGCCTAAACATGTAGTTCTCCTTGAACAGTTAGCCTTATTTAACTCAACTGTAAATTATTTTTAATTAGGTATACACCAATCCAGAAGACCCTCAGGTAAATGTGTTTAAGTTAATAAAAAAACAAAATGCCTCTAATATCTAAAAATAACTTAAAAATTATAACATGCTTTTAATTATGCTTTCATCAATGTGCTCTCACTGTTGAATCTCATAAAGACTTTTGAGGTAAGACAGGGCTTGTATTGTTATTTTTAAACAGATTAATACACTTACTACAAGAGAGATTATGTAACTGATTCTAGGCTACAAAGTCACAGACCATTAGAAATAACCTAAATCTCCCAACTTCTGGTTCTTTATAATATTCTTTTTTATTAGAATTATGAAAGGAGGGCCGGCCGAGCAGCTCAGTTGGTTAAGAGCTTGCTCGAGAGTTTGAGCTCTGAGCAATAGCAGTTCGATTCCCGGCCAGAGCTGAGCTGCCGCTGAGCTGCCAACAGGTGCTAGGATAGCTCAGCTAAAAAAAAAGAATTATGAAAGGAGTTGAGTTTGAGAAAATAAGAAATTCATCCTTAAACTTTGAATATTCACCCCAGTCCAGTCATATCTACCTGTTTACCTGACAATTAAAGTAGGGATTACAAGAAATGAAAAGAAAAACCATAAGACAAGAAACAAAAGGAAAAAATCGATTGAGTCCTTACTGTTATTAGGCTCTGTTCTTTGGGGCTTTCTATCTGTGCATTATCTCTTTGATTCATCACAACCTTCATGAGGTAACTACCATTATCATCTCTACTTTATAGATAAGGAAACCTAGATACAAGGTTTCTTGCCTGTGTTCACAGTGGCAGAACCAGAATTTGGATCTAAGAAGGCCAGTTTATGATCTGGGTGCTTAACCATTACACTATAGCTGTTATAGTGTTTCATTCAGTCAGGGAGAACTGATTTTTAAAAAAGAAAGAGCTGATCCCCATCCCTATGTGAGCAATGAAATGTAAAGAAAGCAATAAAAGTATTAGAGCCTCAAGAGAGCTGGGAATGTCATTTCTTTGATACTCATGCCTGCAATTAGTGCTTAATATATGTCCATGGCAACAAAAGAAATTCATATGGGCAAAGGCCTATGAATTAGTTGATTGTTCAGAAACTGATTGGTCAGATAAGTGTTCGCTTATTTTCAGATGTTTTATAGCTGCACATTTTTTTCTTTCAGAAAAAGATAAACCTTGCTGATGAACTGTAGAATAGTATTTACTGAATGCTTGGTGTGCCAGGCCCTTTATTAAGGGCTCTGTATAAATTATTCCATTTGATAAATATTCACGACCACCAATGAGATAGGTACTATTTTTATTAGCTGTGGAAACTGAGACTTAGAAAGCTTAAATGACTTGCTTGTGGTTTCAGTACAGCAAGTATTTAAGCCCTGTGCTTAGTCATTTTAGTAAAGTAAGAGATATGCTGCCTCCCTTACCTGCCTGCTAAGGAGTACCTTCTGTCTGGTATATATTTATAATTGCAATGAGTGAGAGAATAAATCTCTCTCCAAAATTGAAGCCCCAAATCCCAAACCCTGGGAATTGACTATTAGGACTTGAATGTTTCAGTGGACCAATAAGGATTAACATGGCAGAAAAAAATTATTAAGTAAACGTTAAGAGTCCTACAAAAATAGTATGTATATAGCTACTTCGCTGCCAGTACTGTATATCAGATATGTAACTGCAATGTTTTCTATTTAAGACAATTTCAGAATGTTACCAATTTAAATTCAAGTATACCAATAATGGACCAATCATGGACTTATTGAGGTATTGTTTTATAGTTTTTATATGATAGATTACCATTTATTCATATTAATACTATATAGCTAAACTTCAGGATTAATTCTGAAACTTCTCAGACATCCCAAATTAACCATCAAGGTATAGATGTATTAAATATCCTTGGAGTAGCTGCAAGCCAGGAGTCTATGGCTAATTACATGCTATTTTAACTGAGAAACACAGAGTAGGAAAGCCATTGTATGCTTGAATGATTTTAAATGTAACTAAAATGCTTCATTTGTTTCCTTTAAACATCTTATATAAAGTGCATGTTAATTTATTTAAAATTAAGTTATGAGTTTATAATAATGATATTAAGAGTGATATTAGTGATATTAAAACTTTTATAATAGTGACATTAAAACACATTTCAGGGTAGCTTTCAACTTAATGCTATAATAGAAATAAGAATCTCAAATAGTGAAATATGAAATTATGCTATTAGAAGCTATAGGTGTCATAAAAGAAATCAATATATGATTCTCTTCTAGTAAAAACCAAAGCAGTGAATCTAATATATCAGCTGCCGACACCAAGAAAGCAAGTATTGTCCTCATTCGCAAGATTTATGTTCTAATGCAAAATCTAGAACCTTTACCTAATGATGTTTGTTTGACCATGAAACTTTTTTACTACGATGAAGGTACTATTTACAATCCATTATATTCCCCATACTGTATTTTATATCCCTGTGACTATTTTGTTTGTAACTACCAATTTGTATTTCTTAATCCCTTCATCTTTCTCACCCATCCCCCTAAGGCCCCTCCCATCTAGCAACCATCAGTTTGTTCTCTGTATCTATGAGTCTATTTCTGTTTTGTTTGTTCGTTTATTCTGTTCTTTAGATTTCACATATAAGTGAGATCATATGGTATTTGTCTTTCTCAGCCTGACTTATTTCACTTGGCATGATACTCTCTAGGTCCATCCACATTGTTGCAAATGGTAAGATTTCATTCTTTTTTATGGCAAAGTAATAATACTCCATTGTATAAATGTACCACAATTTCTTTATTCTTTCGTCTTATTGATGTGCATTTTGGCTTTTCCATATCTTAGCTATTGTGAATAGCACTGCAGTAAACATAGGGGTGCATATATCTTTTTAAATTAGTGTTTTGGGTTTCTTTGGGTAAATACCCAGAAGTGGGATTGCTGGGTCATAAGGTAGTTCTGTTTTTAATTTTTTGAGGAACCTCCATTCTGTTTTCCATAGTGGCTGCACCAGTTTGCGATCCCACCAACAGCACATGGGGGATCCCTTTTCTCCACATCCTCACCAACATTTGTTGTTTGTTGAGTTATATAGATAGATAGATAGATAGATAGATAGATAGATAGATAGATAGATAGAAATTATAAAATTTACATTTAATATCAGTATTTGAAAAAGATTTGGAAAAATGGGCTTTAAAATATACACAAACTTCTCCAGTGATATGAACATATCCACGAGAGGTACAGTCTCACTCATATTTAAAGAAATGAAACAGTGAGATACTATTTTCACTTACCAGATCAGTAAAACTTGTAAACCCGGATGTTATTGGCAAGGGTGCAGTGGGGAAAGGAGGCACCTTTATACACTTGTGAGTGTATGTGTATAGGTGCCACACTTTTTTTTAAAGGTTTTATTGGGGAATTGGGGGAGGGGAACAGTGTTGGGGAATTGGGGAAGGGGAACAGACAAGTTGCTGTCCTTTTGTTCTTCAGTCTAGTTGTGAAGGAGGTTGCTTCACCTGCCCATGTTGCTATTATCATTGCACTCTTCCCGGTGAGGCAGTTGCTCTCCGGCCATTGGATGGCTGCTCACGGCAGCTCAGAAAGTTCACGGCAGCTCAGAAAGCTCACAGCAGCTCAGAAAGCTCACACCTGCTGCCAGCCAGCCCCACTGCAGCGCACGCCGTTGCCGGTGACTCACGGCAGCCCAGCTCCAGGTTGAGCTGTTGTTCACCATCTTAGCTGTAGAGGGCGCAGCGCCACTGGCCCTCATGTGGGATCCAAACCAGGGCCCTGCTGCTCAGAGCTGGCGTCCCAAGCCAACTCCAAACCAACGCACCACTCGGCTGGCCGGTGCAACATTTTTAGAGGACAGTTGGGCAGTATCAAAATGTTAAATGCAGGGCCGGCCAAGTGGCTCAGTTGGTTAAGAGCTCGCTCAAGAGTTTGAGCTCTGAGCAACAGGGTCCCCGGTTTGATTCATGGCCCAAGCTGAGCTGCTGCTGAGCTGCCAACAGGTGGCAGGATGGCTCAGCTAAAAAAAAAGGAAAATAATCAAAATATTAAATGCAGATTTCTTTAATCCAGAAAGTCTATAACTAGAAAGGATCTTGGGACTATACTAACACAAATATTTAAGGTTGTATGTATATAAGGATCTTCATTATAGCATTGGTGAAACTAGGAACAAACTGGAAACAGCCTAGAGTGTCCTTCATTGGAGGACTGAGTAAATAAATTATGGTGCATCTATATAATAGAATCCTGGTCAAGCTGTTAAAAAGAATGTGCTGATAAATTAAGTTATCCAATAAATATTAAAACATTTTAAAAAGATGCTAAAAACAGCTAGGTCCAGAACAATATGATCTCGTTTGTGTTTTTTAAGGATCTATATATAAAAATTACATATTTTACAAGCACAATATCTTCTAGGAGAACATAACAACAACTAACAATTACTGAATACTTACTATGTGCCAGTTCTGTTCTGAGCATTTTACACATTTTCATTTATGCCCACAATGACCCTAATGAGGTAGGTAGGATTATTTTCCCGATTTGACAGATGGGGTAACTGAATTGAGGCTGATCAATAATTTCCTCAAGGTCCCACAGCCAGTCAGGTGAAGAAAAAGAAAAAGGTTATCTTTAGGGAATAAAATAAGAACTTGGAGATAGTAGGAGAGTGATTTTTCCTTTTTATTGTCCACCCTTCTAGAAGTACTATGTGGAATTTCTTCAATCTGCACATATTTTTATAATAATATTTTCTTCCGTTTCATGAAAAGCACAGTTTATACTGAACTCTCTTGCAGTCACACCCACAGATTACCAGCCTCCTGGTTTTAAGGATGGTGATTGTGAAGGAGTGATATTTGAAGGGGAGCCTATGTACTTAAATGTGGGAGAAGTCCCAACTCCTTTTCACACCTTCAGAGTCAAAGTGACTACTGAGAGAGAACGAGTGGAAAATATTGATCCATCCATATTATCACCAAAACAACTAAAAACACCACTTCAGAAAATTCTTAGCAACAAAGATGATGTAGAAGCTGAACAGAAGCATTATATAAGTGTAAGTATATTTAAACAAACATAAAGTCTAGTAGTAAGAAATGTTTGACTCAGTTTTTAGGACTTTAACAGCTCTCATTAATACTTGTATAAATACTGTATCATAACCATAAACTCAAGATTGGAAGGGGCCTTCAAGAAAGTATAGGCCTGTTTTGAACGACAAATGTTACAAATATACAGCTTTCTCAAAATGCATGATGGTTGTAAGAACCCTTGGATCCTACTGTTGTCAGAGGCCCGTGAATTAGACATGTTCACACAACAAGCCACCACTTCAGTAGCTCTGGAATTTCCATACAGATGTCAGAGGACGTTCTAAATATGCCCCAGCCCAGTTTAAAACTTCAAACAGTTTAAAAGTTTTTATCTTGGTGCAAAGAACATTATTCTCAGAAATTAAAAGCGCAACTATTCTGAGTGAAGCAGGGAATGGTCATGGAGGCCCAGAAACTCACCACGTGACCTTCCCTCATAGTGGGCTCTGTGGAGACTCCTCAGTCTGCAGCATAGTTTGAAAACCTGCTGCAGTCCCCCAGCTAATGCTGGAACCCTTTTTACAGCAGCCCTACTAGCTGTGCTTGAACTTCTTCAGGGCCTGGAAAGTCAGTCCTGAAGCGGCCTGGAAGTTCCTGGAAGGCCGAGAAAAGTGTCTGATTGTTGTCCTCCTGTGCCTAATACTTAGATTTCCCAGTGTGCATTCTCAGTATTGGTTGAATGAATGGATGAATGTAAGTATAAAGCTTTTGTGTTCATTCCCAGAAAATCTTTCATCTTCAACATGATTGTTCTTTAATCTCATCTTTCTTTTATCTTTTCTCATTTTATTCTAAATTATGACCATAGTACATATAGAGAGAGACTGACCATTTTGATTGAGGCTCTGTGGCCACACCCTTACAAATAGAGAATTCAATTTCGACCAACACAGTCAAAGAAGAAATCTTTTTCCTAAAACCTAGACCCCAGTCTTGCTTTATAAACAAATATGTCTGGGATTTAGGTAATATTCTCTAAAATATTTAAAGCTCTTTGACACGTCACAAAGAGAATACTAATTTATAAAGTAGACATTAAGCCTGTTGCTATTGCTACCACTCCACGAGTGAGCTTATCCTTCGCAAACTCCCTGAAGAGGGCTGGGGCATATTCAGAGCATACGGTAACATCTGTATGGAAATTCCAGAGCTATTAAAGTAGCAGCTCGTTGCGTGAACATGTCTAATTCAGTGCCCTCTAACAACAGTAAGATCTAAGGGTTCTTACAACCATCGTGCATTTTTAGATAGTTGTATATTTTTATCATTTGTCCTTAAAGCAACCCTGCAATCTAAAGAAATGTAGTATTTTATACTTTGGGTAAATAAGTTGCCTTGTTATTGTAATTATAGGACCACTTTATTTCCAGCAAGCATAAGGTAGTTTGTAGTGTTATGCCATATTTAACCTTCACAGAAAACAAATTGGTTCATAAATACTTTTACCAAGTTGTTTTAGTTACTTTTTGAAATGTGTCCATTGTGTTTTCTTCATATAATTATGTAGGATGATTGTGACATTGAAACTAAAATGGAAGAGCAGAAAAAACGTTCTGGATCTTCTGAACTTGGAGGTAAGACGTTAATGAAAATGTAGATTAATTCACTTCCTATCTAATTTTATAGTATTTTAACTCTTTTTTTTTTTCAAACAGAACTAAGTTTAATTTGTGAGGAAGATGAAATTATGAGATGTGAAGAAAGTCCAGATCTTTCAATTTCTCATTCTCAGGTATAAAGTTGATCGTTCCATCTCGCTTTTAACCTGTTTTTTCAAGACTGTTGCTTGTATGTTCATTTGGTTATTTCTCAGATTTTCTCATTATATTCTAGGTCTTTTAGAAGAAAATTAGTTATTAAGAATGCTTATTAACAAAATCTAGGAATTATATGTTGAAAAGTTTAAGTATATTACTATATATTTGCTTAGTAATAAATCTAAATACTGTTCATAGAATTTCAGTATTTGAGAGCTAGATAGTGTCTTAAGCAGTTATTTATTCCACCACCCTTTGTATTTACATTTTGGTTGCTTTGGAGCAGAACATGTTTAGTTTGTTTTCCATATACGTACAGTAAAATCTTAAAGTAACATTTAGATAAAATGAACTTGAAAATAATGGGATAGATGATTGTTCCCCTTTGCACAGCCTCTTTCTCCAGTAGGAGTGAACAAAATTTGTTTTGTTTTGTTTTTTAAAGATTTTATTGGGGAATTGGGGAAGGGAACAGCCAAATTGTTGTTCTTCAGTCTTAGTTGTGGAGGGCACAGCTAGCTCAGCTCCAACTCCAGTCGCCATCCAGCTGCCCATGGGCAGCTTGTGGTCACTCAGCTCAAGGTGCCGTGTTCAATCTTAGTTGTGGGGGTGGGTGTAGCCCACCATCCCATGCGGGAATCAAACCGGTAACCTTGTTGTTAGGAGCATGTGCTCTCACCAGCTGATCCATCCTGCCACCTGTTGGCAGTTCTGTGGCAGCTCAGCTCGGGTGCAGAGTCACTGGCCCATGTGGGAATCGAACCGGTGACCCTGTTGCTCAGAGCTCACGCTCTTAACCAACTGAGCCACTTGGCTGTCCCCAGACGAAAGTTTTTATCTTCTGGAAGAGTAGTGCCTGGTGATCATTTGGGACTTTCTCAGTTCAGTGAATGGTCACTAGTGTTGGTTTCACTATCTTTAGCTTTGTGCTTTTTGTGACAGCCAACTCAAAATTATTGATTTCATTAAATCAACATAACAAGACCCTGAATTTTATGTGATTGAATTTTTGAGCTCTATTATCGTGTTATGAGAAGCTTTTATTATGTTATGTAGTTTTGTGTAATTATTTTCTTTTCTAGGTTGAGCACTTAGTCAATAAAACATCTGAACTTGATGTGTCTGAAAGCAAAACAAGAAGTGGAAAAATCTTTCAAAATAAAATGGTAAGTGTCTCTTTAGATTTGTTTTCCATTCTAACCTTGTCATTTTTTCCCCATATGTGAGTTAATTTTGCTTAATTAACACTTCATATATTGGACCAATATTTAGTAAGCACCTTCTATGTGTCAGGTATTTTACTAGGTGCTGGAGATGGCAGAACTATTAAACTATTGTAGTATGCTGATGAAAGCAAGAAATAAAAGAATTTCAAAAATTAGTGTCTCCAAGCAGCAAACGTTCTTTCTAGGCAGCTTCTATTTAGGATGAGTATCCTTTACTAGGATATAGGAAGAAAAGCAAGCATTAAAAAAATTATTAGGCAAGACCGGCAGAGTGGCACAGTTGGTTAAGAGCACAAGCTCTGAGCAACAGAGTCACCAGTTCGATTCCCACATGGGCCAGTGAGCTGTGCCCAAGCTGAGCTGCTGCTGAGCTGCCAACAGGCAGCAAGATGGCTCAGCTGGTGAGAGAGTATGTGCTCCTAACAACAAGGTTGCTGGTTCAACTCCCGCATGGGATGGTGGTCTACAACCACCCGCAACTAAGATTGAACACAGCACCTTGAGCTGCTACAGGCGGCCAGATGGCAACTGGACTTGGAGCTGAGCTAGCTGTGCCCTCCACAACTAAGAGTGAAGGACAACAATTTGGCTGTTCCCCTTCCCCAATTCCCCAATAAAATCTTTGAAAAAAGAAAAATTATTAGGCAAGATTTCCTTGTAATGTAACATTTGGATGCTTTGGGAACATAAATTCACTTCTGAAATTGCCTGTGTTTTTGGATATGAACTCTCTGCCAAAGTACCCTAATTTTGAGAATCATGACTGAATTATGGTTAGGAAAGGGCAAGAAATGAAAATATTTAATAATATATATACTAAGAAAGTTATTGAAGAGTACATCTCAAGCATCAGAAAACAAGTATGTCTTTTTAGACAGTAGTATGACAGCTAATAATTTGTCATTATCCAATATTCATTTAAAAAATTGAATATATAGCATTTTTCACAATAGCCAAAAGATGGGAAAAACCCGAATGTCTATCAAGAGATGAATGGATGAACAAAATGTGGTCTATCCACACAATAGAATATTACTCAGCCCTAAAATGGAATGAAGTAGCAGTCCATGCTACAACTTGCATGAACCTTGGAAACATCATGCTGAGTGAAAGAAACCTGTCACAAAAGCCCACATATTATATGATCTCATTCATGTGAAAGTCCAAAATAGGGATTTCTATAGAGATATAAAGTCGGAGAGCTGGTGGGAGGATGGGGAAATAAAGGAGTGATGGCTCTAAGGGTCCAGTTTCTTTTTAGAGTGATGACAGTGTTCTAAAATTGACTGGTGGTGGTTGCACAGCTCTGCGAATATCCTTAAAAATCATTGAATTGTACACTTTTAAATAGCAAATTGTATGATATATGAATTACATCTCAGTAAAGCTGTTGTTTTTTAAAAAAAACATGTAGTTAGCCATGGTTAAAAATCAAGTGTTGGTTGTTCTTTGAGAAATAACCAATCAGTAATTATTCTATCTTTGTGGAGGCTAATGGAAATCAACCAGTAAAATCTTCTAAAGACAAGCGGAAGAGACGTGAACTCAAATCTGGGCAAACAGTAAGTCTTATGATAAAATACAGGTTGACTAAAATGGCAAGTATCAGAATATCATTATTATAAATTAAATTCAAGATGATAAATATGATAATATCCCTGTATATATCTCAGAGCTCTGATATCCAAATCTTTTTAAAATATTTGATTTAAAAAAATGTGGTGATTGAAAAATAAGATGTGCTGTGTTGCTTTATTAATTTTTTCCATGTGAGTATTTAATGTCTAAGTAGTTGAAGGAATTTTAAAAATGAATAAAAATCAGTGTCAGGAAAATAAAAATAGAATGAAAAAATGAGAGTACAAGAATAGTCAGGCCATTTTATTTATATAGAGCTAAAATTGGGCCACACATTTGAACTGAGCTTTCAGACTAAACTGAAGTAGAAAGAGATAAGTTACCAAATTCACATGTTCCTTAAAAATATAGCATTTCCTCCTAGTACCTTAGGAGGAAAAAAATTTCCTGACCTAAATCCTATAACAATTGTTTTATATTTGGAAACTTACTTTACTAAATCAGATCATGTATTTGTCATTTCTGAGATAAATATATTTTGTCAACTAGGATTTTTAGTATTTGTAGGTTAAATTAGACAACTGGAAACTTAAGACTATTTTTAAAAATCAAATGTTACAGGGGTAATCTCAAAAATATAGTTGGGGGGCCGGCCGAGTGGCGCGATGGTTAAGAACTGGCTTGGGACGCCAGAGGGCCCCGGTTCGGATCCCACATATAAGGGCCAGTGACACTGCCCTCCACAGCTAAGATGCTGAACAACAGCTCAACCTGGAGCTGAGCTGCTGTGAGTCGCTGGCGACGGCGTAGGCTGCAGCCCCTGTGGCAGTGGGTTGCCATGGGCTACCATATGTAGCCAGCAGCCAGCGTGAGCAGCCAGCAGCCGCAGTGAGCAGCTGTCCAGAAGCCGGCGACTGATCTGCCTCGCCCGGGAAGAGTGCAATGATGCTGCCAACTTGGGCCAGTGAAGCAACGTCCTCCACAACTAGACTAAAGAACAAAAGGACAGCAAGTTGTCTGTTCCCCTTCCCCAATTCCCCAGCGCTGTTCCCATCCCCCCAATTCCCCAATAAAAATCTTTTAAATATATATATATATATATATATATATATATATATATATATATATGTAGTTGGGGCCGGCCGAGTGGCTGAGTTGGTTAAGAGCACAAGCTCTGAGCAACAGGGTCGCCAGTTTGATGCCCACATGGGCCAGTGAGCTGCGCCCAAGCTGAGCTGCCAACAGGTGGCAGGATGGCTCAGCTGGTGAAAGTATGTGCTCCTAATAACAAGGTTGCTGGTTTGACTCCTGCAACTAAGATTGAACACGGCACCTTGAGCTGAGCGGCAGTGCCAGTGGGCGGCCGGATGGCGACTGGACTTGGAGCTGAGCTACTGTGCCCTCCACAACAAGAATTGAAGGACAACAATTTGGCTGTTCCCCTTCCCGAATTCCCCAACATTGTTCCCCTTTCCCAATCCCTCAATAAAATCTTAAAATACATATACATATATATATATATATATAGTTGACTAATACTATTATCAATTTACATATCTTAAGAAGCGAATGGAGTAACCTGACATTTCATTATTGTACTAGGTTCTTTCATTTTTCCCAATGTAGTAAATAAGCCTTGATTTTTTTCAGCAAAATCATAATCCAGTTTGTATCCTTAGTGATTTTTATTCCCAGAAGAATCAAAGTTCAGTAACTCAGGGAATCTTGTTAGGAATTTCCCTAGTTCGTCATCCTTTTCATGTAAAAGTGTACATTAAATGTCTACTATTAGGCCCTGCTCAGGACCAGGGATACAAAAACAAAACATGATTTAAATTTTACATTGTGCCAGGTAGAATGTTTCTCAATTTGCATCTGGTTTTTAAATCTTTTTTTCTCCTTTCATCCCCCAAAATGTTTTACTTTTTTGAGGGCATAATGTTAAATCTGTCTAGTCCAACAACGCTAATGAGGACCTTATATTGGGTTGTCGGAAAAGTCATGACGCATTTTTGCAACAAAAAAAACAGAAAAAATATGTCATGACTTTTCCAACAACCCAATACTTTGCAAGTACATACTTTCAGTGGCCATGAGAAAATATAAGTATGTCAGTAATACAATTTACCCTACTTTTAAAGAACCCAGGTAACTTAGCAGGAAAATAGTTATGTTAGGTATAATTTTAAAAAAGAAAGAAACCCCAGAGACATGAAAAAGATCTAAGACATTTAAACTGGAAAATACCTGTTCTTACTAATTGTTTTCTTTTGACAGGTCCATCCTCACTTTGATTCTTCTGATCAAAAGTCAGCACCAAAAAGAAGAAAGTTTAGTGAACCAAAGGAATATGCATAAAAAATTTTCTTCTCCATGTTTGCAAAGTTCACTGCAACATTTAAAGAAAACTATGTTACTATTTTAAGGTGTGTTTACCCTACCTCTGAAAACTTACATGTAGTCTTGACGCAGTTAGTGAACTAAATTTGAATTTTTAGCTGACTTACCACATTGTGATCCTTAACGTTATCTAAAACAAATCCAAGAGAACTTTTGAATAAAATCAAAAGTACTAGTGTCATAATTATCTACTCAGTATTGATCTATCTTCCATTTTGGTGGATACTTTCTTTAAAAAATATATTAATTTTTAAGGCCTTCTAAAGCCATTTTAAAGGAAATAATGTTTATTTTGGTATTAAATTTTGGAAGGAATTCACTTTTTCTTATGTTAAAAATATACCATTTAGCTGTGTTTGCAATTGTTATTAAAACAATGTTCTTCAGTACTTTGATACAGTGTATTAACAATATGTAATGTACAATTAAACATAGGTGCTTTACTTTTTTTAAAACATTTTTTCCTGCAAGATGAAATGATGACTAAGATTTTGAAATCTGGCATTTTGGGGAGCATAAATAAAATATTATCCAGCATCTAAACTCTTTCATGGCTTCTAACGTTTATTTAATTAGCAAAAAATGTTTAGGCACTAATTTTGAGATCATTTCAGTATATGTTACTTTGCAAGAGTAGAACTTTTGAGTAAAAGATTTGCTGTTAGTGAGAAACCTGGGACCTGGTTCCAGCTTTGACTGTTTCCTTTGCTTTAAAAAAGGAACTTGAAACTCGGTCTGTTTGCCTTTTGAGGTTTCAGCAGCCACATTCTAAAAGCATACATTAACCATGGATTTGCCAGAACAAACGCTAATAGAGAACGTTGGTATGTATGTGATGGTACAAATGTATCCATCCTGTTTAACGTAAGCCAAATAAACATCTACAAACTGACCCAGATCAGTTTTTTCTGGAACAGGAAAGTTAAGGATAAGCTAATTGTCGAAAACAACCAATTTTAAAATGTTTATTCTTTACAATTGACATTCAATATTATTTTATATTAGCTTCAAGTGTACAGCATAGGGGTTAGACATTTATATAATTTACGAAGTGAATCCCCTTGTAAGTCTAGTACCCACCTGTAAAAATGTTTATTCCTAGCTTTATTGTATCCCAACGCATCTCACCTAATTGTCCCAGTATACACTGCTACAGTAACACACCTGCTACAACTGAGATTGACCAACCGAAACCTTTGTAGATCCGCAGCTGCTGTTAGCGCACTGAACGCTTGGATTGGCCGGTTTGATGGGGGTGGGGAGCTCAGCCCTCTTTCCTCTCGTCTAACCAACGTTTCTTCATTGGATTGACCAGCTGTCAGGTTGAACTCAAACCTGCCTCCTTTTGGTGGTTGTCTGGATCGCAACACAATAGCCGGGGAGAGCCACCCCTCATAATCTCCGATTGGCTGGACTCAACCTTGGCGGTTTCTGATTGGTCCAATGAAAAAACACCAAGGTAGGTTGCCTAGTGATCCTAAGGAAGCTGATGTGTTGTTCCTTCTCTGCATCGAAGGATCAGGAAGTTTGTGCTCTCTGCGTGGCTGAGAAGTTCTTTACCTACTAGAACGGGGGTGGGGGGTGGGGGGACGGGTTTCCTCCTGAAATAGAGCTCAAGCTGCTACCTGCGTCTGGCCGGAACCCAGGAGTAACGCCAGGTAAGTAAGCAACGGGGAAAATACATTTCCTAACATCCGAATAAAACTCCCAATTTTTTATTTTATGGGGAGAGGAAGGTTTTTATTTATTTAATTTTTTGGCCATTTTTTTTTCCCAGATAGGTTTTTTAACTAGTAAATGGACAGGGGGATTCATTTGTTAAAGAAAATCCTTTATTTTTTCCCCCCGAAGATTTAAAGTTTCTCGGATTAGGTTAGAAAATAAGCCCTATTCACAGAGCCAGATAGAGTTAATGCCCTGAAGCATTTATTTCGTGGTTCTCTTCCTCCACTGTTCCCACCTCCCACCAGGAATTACATTCGAAATATAGCCCCCGTACAAAGACTCTTTTGTTAAGTCACTTCATTTGTATTTGGGTTTTAAATGTTCACATGCATTTCTGAATATTCATTTTAATCAGTGTATATTTATCGAGCAGTTACAACGTTAAAGACATTGTGCTAGTTGCTGTGGAGAATTAAAAAACCCAAGAAGATAATATCCCTGCCCTCAAGAAGTTTACAATTGAGAGACAGCCATACCAAAAGAAAGACTATAATTATACTGTAAAGGAAGTAAGTATAAATAAAGTTCTGTGAAAGTACAACTGAGAGAGAAACCAGTTCTGGCCATGGGACATATGGATAGTGGAGAAGGAGATTCACTTAAGCCTTTGCAGTGGGTCCTCAGAAGGTCTTTGAAGGATGGGTAGAATTTGAAGGATGGGTAGAAGGATGGGTAGAATTTGAAGGATGGGTAGAATTTAAAGAGTAAGGGAAAGGGATAGAACGGCATGTACAAAGAAGCAGATGTGAAAGGAACTGGTTTGTTCACAGTAATTGGAAGTAATGGGAAATATAATTGCCAGAAAGTAGAATGGGTTCCAGTCACAGAGATTCTCAAATGCATTCTTTTGATGTTGAGAAAGATATTCTTTTCAATAATTGCTGATTAAAAATATGCATTGTCTTATCATCTTAAAAACTGGCAGGCAATACATTGATCTAAAATGAAGTATGCTAACTTGAAACTGTATCATAGATGATTTAGTGCAATTTCTCTTGACTGTCGATTTTTAAAACTGGTGCATGGAATAAAGGCATGTGCTTTCCTTTTTTTTTTTTTTTTGTAGCTGAGAGTTTGCTAATCTTTTATCATTCTCTTGCCAGTATTTTTTGTTGGCAGCTCTTAGTGTATTTGCAAGATGGTTAGCTGGGGACTGAAAGGAAAGTTTTCTGGCTATATGGCTACTACACATGAACTTCTGAACGTTCCTCTCTAGACTAGTGATCTCAGTGAGTGCATGACATTAGGGTTTGGGAATAAAATATTAGAACCTGTATTTCTATTTAGATTTTTAAAGCTTTTTTACTTTATAATTTTGGTGTATGTTTTATAATGTACCATAGAATGTTTATGGAAGTTATATATAAAGTATGATATGCATTTTGGGGCTGGACGCTCACAGCTTTTTGCTGTCCCATATTATTTAACTTGAGGAAGATCCATTTTGTGAAAGAGGAGTCACAATGATAGTCAGTCACTCCTGGGTTATAGATGATGCACAAGAAATAAACAGGTTTAAAAGATGACCATTTCTGCTGGTCTTTAAAATTACTGGTTTGATTTCTTGTCAATGCCTCCTGTGGACTGAAGCTATTGTAATTTGGAAAGATAATGTGTTACCCACCTAATTTTTGGTCATCACTCCTTCCTTTCTGTATTTCAATTTATGACTATTTTTTAATATACATGTGTGAATATCTATGTGTGTTTATTTCCATAAGCACACATATAGATATATATATTTTTTTTGGCACCCCTCCAGAAACCGTTCAGCATGACCACTTTAACTCACCGGGCCCATCGCACTAAAGTGGGCAAGAACCCCGAAAAGAAGGTAGAAAGTGAGGAAGACACGGCTAATCAAGACAGAAGTACAGACAGTGAAGATTCTGGAGACGCCAAGGATATCCGCCTCACCCTTATGGAAGAAGTATTGCTCCTGGGACTAAAAGATAAAGAGGTAATGTAGTTGGGCCCACCAGCCCGTCTCAAAGACTCTTAAATACTGGAATGGTTTTAGGAAGTAATACAATAGAATATTTTGATTAATGTTAAATTGGCCTTAGAAGTATTCAGTAGCCCTCTGGGGGATGGGTGGGGCGTTTGGGAGGGTGGCTGATAACTTAGAGGCTAAATTCAGAAGTATAATTACTTCAAGTGGAATTTAATTACAGAATTACTCCAAAATTTTAGAGGATCCAAAGGAGGATATAACACAGTGTAAAATTTTTGTACTTAACAGTTTTCCAAGTGAGATCGATGCTGAAATAAAGAGGGCCCACACATTGAAGTCTTCTTGAGCTTTGGGGGAAAAAAAAGTCTTTTAATGATAAGATAAGGAAACAGGTCCGATTAGCTGTCTTACAAAAATAAACGGTAGGTAGGTTTCTTATATATAAAGAAATAACTTTTTAATTCTACTCTGTGGATTTTTAGAAGTGAAGTATCAACAGTGGATGAGGATTATTTTAATTTTAGAAAGTGTTTTTAAATTATTCAGCTCTTTCTAAATTTTCCCTTATGAATAGAACATTTATTTTGTAATAGAATTAGGCTTGCGATAACAAGTCTTGTGATATAACCTAATATTTTCTTAGCTTTCCTAATTAGTGGTATACATTATCCTTCATTTGTAATTTAACTTCTTCTGATGTTTTCCCATCACTTTCTTCTGTCATGAGGAGGTAATGAAGCTATATAAATGTAATTAAACAACCCACTTTCCAATTCTTTAGTAAGTAAATGAATAAATAAACAAAGGCATATTTATTATTGGCCTCAGTTTTAAAAACTTATCAAATTGAAATGTTTCTTTATATATATTTGGGGGGGGGACTTTTTTTTTTTTTTTAAGATTTTTATTGGAGAATTGGGGGATGGAAATAGTGCTGGGGAATTGGGGGAAGGGGAACAGACAAGTTGCTCTCCTTTTGTTCTTCAGTCTATTTGTGGAGGACGTTGCTTCACTGGCCCAAGTTGGCACCATCATTGCGCTCTTCCCAGGCGAGGCAG